GGCCAGAAAATCTATATGAATCTAGTGGTTAGCTATTTACCATATCATTCTTCAAACCTGCATGATCAACTCACATTCCTCTGCATCCTCTCAGAAAAGAAGAAACAGAATGAGTCACATTTGCTGAAAATGAAACACTTTCTCCTCAAAAGAACTATGCCTAGTCAGGAAAAACAGGCCTTTTCTTAAGGAAATACATGACTCTCTGATGTACACAATACTTCACAATGTCCACAAATGGCTCCTGTGTGATCCTTTGGCACTAACACAGAGCTGTGGGTACACTAAGATTCATCACAAACAAAACCCACACTTGCTTGAGTACAACTAAAGATGTGCTATTTCTGAGATACATGGAGAAAAAAAAGCCAGAAAACAACAAGCATCAGTATGTAAAGTGCTTCTGATTTTCTAAGGGCACCATCCCATTATAATTAACAAGTGATTACTTATTTAATTTTTACTTACCTGGAAATGTCCTCCAGCAATCTTTCTGTGCAGTTCTATTCTGTCCGGTCCATGAGCAGGTGAATAAATGCAACCTGCAACAGCTCTCCAAGCATTGGATGGGCTCCTCTTCATTAGCTATACAATGCATTATGTGCACATGGTATTTGTCAGACAAACACTGCTTACCTTAGTACCCAAGACTGCAAAGATTTTACTGGCATGGGTGCTGTAGTCATGAACTTGCCAAAGTGATTTACGTTAGTTTTTAATTGAGTCCTCAGAGATTTCTGAATCAGAATCTTCAGGTAATTTGTGTCAGGCTGACTTCTTTATCCCTGGTATTGTTTATATAGAAATATTTAACAACAGAGAATTTGCCTCTTCTTTTTCCTGTAAAGGGCATGTTTTCCCATTGGTGGGAATTCCTCTTTGAGAGGGTAGGACAATAGCTCCACACAGGAGCTAAAGGCATTTGAAGAAATGGAATACTTTGCAAAAGCATTTCCAGGAGATATCACTGGATACTCCTCTCCTAAAGCACTGAAGAGGCATTTTTTAGAAGCTGGAACACCATCTGTTCCTAAGTAGAACTCTTCCTCAGTCTTTCCCATTTACTGATGTAACTAATACAAGCAGTCTGCAGATGGAGTCTCCCAGACCAGACGGAAAGGGACTGGCTGGATACATAGATTACTTTTTTTCTTTCTGCAGAGAGGCTTTGGTATAAGCAGAAGGATGTTATCTTGACATCCAATGGAGGTTAGAAGGTTGAAATTATGTCTGCTGTGTCTGTCTGGAAAAGCAAAAAACACTTTTTTTGTGTTTTTCAGTTAACTGCCTGTGAATTAGTAATTAGGCAATCAAAAAGTTGGGGTTTTTTCATAGGAAATTTCTGCTCCTATTTAAAGCTTTTTTTCTCAAAAATAAATTTAATCAGAATGTAAAGTAACACAAAACATAAAGTATATTAAAATTTAAGCACTCATTAAAACCAAGGCTACAGCAAGCCAATCAATAAATTACCTCCTTTTTTTTTTTTCTTCAAAAAGTATGTCTCAGAAAACTAACTATATTATAAAAGAAAACCTTTGGTCACTACTTAGCTGACTGATAGCAAAAAAAGATGCCAAATTATTTGTGAGTATTCCTCTATTAGCAGCAATGTGAAGATATATTTTCAAAACCCAGATAAACTCCCTGCTTGTTTTATACACATGAGTGGTTGATTAAAATAGGACTGCTTGCATGAATAAACAATTAGGATCTGATTACATTCAGGTAAACTGTAGTAGGCTTTATTTTAAAGAAGGAAGAAATGATTCTCAGCTGATGTCTTAACTGCTCTCAGAAGGTGAATCATCAAGGTCTCTTACTACACAGCCAAGTACTGAGATTCTTTCTTCTATACCACAGCGCTGATTTTTAACAGATTTTGATTAAATAATATATTTGTGGAATCATCTTTAACACAGTGGTCACAGCTCCTCACTCATATAATAAAAACCATGCAAATATGTGTTTAGTTTATGCTAAGGCAGGTTCATGTAAACAAGGGATCTGACATTCATTTACTCTAGTGTGAATGAAGCCTGCTGCAATGTGTCTAAAAGCAGATCTTCTCTTATTGCAAATTCAAGCAGAGAGCAACACTTTTACTTTGCTCTGTGACAATTGCAGTCTAATGATATTCCCAATTTTGCTGTACATTTACCCATTCTTAGGACTGTATTTTTCTTACAAGCCTTTGTATGAGATACTGTTTCGTACAGCATGCAAGCACTCTACAAAAAGCTTCAGTATGAAGCACACATTTTACAACAGATTTAGGGCAATTTAGCAAGTCTTAATTATGTTTAAAACTTTCTAAGCTTTAAAAACTGCCTTGCATATGAACACAAGTTAGGCAATATCTTTATGCCATGCTCATTAGGGAGAAAGATTATGCTTTGTGAGGACAATTTTCATGTAAGTCAGTCCAGCCCAACTGCATTTCAAAGTGCAGCACTTTCATAGTAACTTTCTATTAACCCAAAGACCTTCTAAATGAAAGTTCAGTTTGACTGATGTTCTTCTTCTCAGCTCTTCCCACTTGGGAGCTGTAGGTTTTCCCAGGATGTCCTATGCAATATGTGTGAAATGTTCTCCCTAGTTCTGCGAGTCCTGTGTTCTTCAAATCCTGCATTACATTTTTTTATTGGTTTTCTGCTTATCCAGCCATCCAAGTTGAAAATATGCACATGCAAATGGGCAAAAATCTAGCTCACAATTTTTTGTTGCTACAACTCTTCATCCTTCCATGACCCTTCTCCCTCTTGATTTCATCCTGTGCTATACTAGCCTACAATTGATTTTAAACTCCAGGGACAAGAAGCAGCCATTTAAAATTATTTTTATATTACAGCATTTCCTGTAGTCTTCAGACACTCTGGGCACCTCTTCTGCAAGGCATTGTACAAATCCATTGCAAATGAGAATACCTCTCTCAAGAGCTTACAAGAAAGTCAAGACAAGGAGTAGGAAAATATTATTATTCTCCTTTTCCGAACAGGAAGGTGAGACATGAAATAATCCAAGAAGTCAGGGCCAGAGCCCAGATTTGAATATAGTTGTTTATCCAGGATCATAAGCACAGTCCCAGCCTTTGTCTGACAACCAGCATGAACACTTACAGCACTAAAGTAAGCAGTGAAAGCTGAGCTATATTAAAAATAAAATCAGAAAGCTGCATTTACAGTACAAAATAGAAGGAACAAGAGAGATGATACCCTGGCATCACCTACCAACAGGAAGAAGAAACCAATGATCAGGAGGAGGGAACACTGGTGAAGAGGTTTCCTCACCATCATAAGGGTTGCAGCTGCTGATGAGAGAATGTATGTGCCACGAACATATAAAATATAGATTTATATATACAATAGGAAAGAGTCAGTATACAAATACTTACATGTAAAAATAGATGTTTACTTTCCCCTTTTCATGATTACAAAAGCATACAAAGTTTCCTGTTGGTTAATGTTTAAGTAGTGTGAGTAATCCCTGTGTGTCATGTTCCACACATAATTCTTTCAAGTGTTCACAGTATTGGCTATTACAGTGTTGAATCTGACATTCCAGATGTTAAAATATTCATAGGACACATTCTAAACTTAAAGCATTAATTTAAATATAGTTTAAATAAAACTCACATGTGTAGTTGAACTCTGGTCATATTAGAAATGAATCTGCTCCAGTTGAAAACTTCCCATGAGAGTAAGCTTGGAAATACATATTTCAACTAGAGATGAGTATATTTTAAGATTCTTGAACTGCCTCTCAATGTGCAGATAATACTGCAAGATGGTGAGTTTTTCAAATCCATCTGAAGCGATGCAAGCTGAGAGAACTCAGTACTACAAATTATCCTCAGTAGGAAAGTGCATGCACAGAACAATTGGCCATCAGATCCAGACACATTGTCACTGTCTTCAAATATGCAACAGACAAGAATAAATTACAAGTACCATTGTTTTTGTGTTAATAATAAATGCTTTATAGCATTCTTTATCAAGGAACTGCCTTATGGACTTAATCCTCAGAATTCCTCTGTGAGGCAGAAAGATGTTATCTTTGCCTTTAAACATGGATACACTGGAGTTTTAAAATAAACTATGTGGCTGCATGAGGAATTCTGTCACAAGACTGGTATTTGGGTGTTGGAGCAACTCACCAGGCACAACTGGAGTCAATGGAGATGTTTATGAGATAACTTTACACTAACCAGCTTGGGTAACCACAGCAGACTTGGTACCACAGCCAAAGGTTTGTCATGGGCGGCAAAACACAGCCTTTGCTAAGTGCCATGTAGCTGGAGCTAAACTGTGGGACAACAGTGTCAAAAAATACAAAAGACATGATCCAAGATGGTGCAGCCTGACCAGCTTGCATTTCAGAAATTATTAATTAATCAGGAGCCTTGAGTAAATAAATCCTTCACATGTGAGAGTTATGTGCAGTTCAAGAACCATTAGCTCACCTCTAATTTTACCATATATGCAAGTGCTCACATGTATCAATGTATTCAGGTGTTTTTTTAAAATTTACTCAAGCATAGACCTTGGCAGTCTATATTTTTCCTCATATTTCCTTTGTGGAAAATTTCTATTAGTATCACAAAAGGAACTAGTACTGCAGTACTGCAAATGAGCTGCAAGTACAAATTTTGATTAACTAAGGTTATATGAACAAGTTTTAAAAGACCACCCATGTTCTCTGTGTGCACCTGTATATACAGGAAATCTCATCAATCTTTAACTGTTACTGCTTTGAAGTAAAATCCAGTTAAAGTATAAAGTGCATTGTTGAGAGTAAAACCCTAAGAAATAACAAACAATGTGTCTGCCTTCCAGAGATGTATTAATTTTGCTTAAAAGCTGAACCATCACTCTTTTTGTCTTCTAGTTTTTAGTTTAGTGTTATCTAGGCTGAGAAATGCCAACCAGATATAAGCAAAATTATTGTAAACTGAGACATTTTTGTAATATGCTGTTAAGGGAGAGCTTAGAAAACCAGTATCAAGACACTGTCCAGTTGGGGTGCGTAAATATTATTGTGTGCTTCTTGGCCCATTTGGCAAATACTTTCTTTTCTGTGATAAACCTGTGGCCTCCATATGGAGCATTTTCATGCAGGAGGTATTCCTCACACTCATGCCTTCCTGGCTCGTAATAGTGGTAGGGAACTTTATGAAGGCCTTCTGACCTAGGGGGGAAAAAAAGATACACTTGAGTATTATTTCCAAGAAAAACATGAATATATGCTGCACCTGAATTCACTGAAATCCTTTCTGTGTGTCAGCACCTGAGCTCTTTTGCTGAACTGTATAACATCTTTCATTACAGCATGATTTGAATATTTTTTTCCTACAGAAAATGAATCTATGTGTATCTCAAAACACACTGGTATTATCAGCTGGTAAGAAGCGGATGGGCTGGTTCTTATGGGTAATGCACATTTTATTTAACCTTAGGCAACTCAGTCTGTAAAGCTCCATCCCTAAGCAAAGTCTTCGCATTGGATAGTCCCAGCTCTTGAAACTGGTTCTTGAAATGGCTGCATAAGGCAGTTCTAAGGATAATATACATTATAAGTAGTTAATGCAGCCAGAATCGCAGCTTTAAGCAAACCCTTCTTTGCTGACAACAGACTGAAGTGCTGTCAGACTGTTAACTGGTTTTACATCAGGGCTGTGCAATGCCAGCTTGGCTGAACTCTGTGAGGACTTCAGGCCCCTCACCCCTCATCTCAGGGCAGCTACTGTGTTTTCATAAACAAAGAACAACATATGCTCATTCCATCTGGATGACTCACTCAATCAGTGAAAACTGCAAGTTTTAAAAAGTCAGGGTCTAATGCTAAGGTAGCCTAATGGAACAGCTGTGACTCATTCTTTTGTTTGTTTTTGGTTTTTTTTTAAGGCTCTGGCAGAAATTATTCCCCTGCTGTTGGAACACAGAATGCACAGGAAGGGTCTGTACAAAGACTTTAGGAGCTGAGGACCCACTGGTTACATGCAGCACTTGAATCAGCCTAGGTACAAAAGAGTAGATTTGTGCTTGTATCATACATTAAGGCATTTCCTGCTTTTATGAATGATCGATAGTTTCATATTTTGCTAACACATTCTGTAGATTAAAACATTTAACTTGGACTTTTAAAAATTGTGTTTATAGTTTTAATTCTGACAATAAGATTAATACATTGTCACTGTAAGACCACTAACAGTAATTGGTTGGATTTAATGTCAGTTTACTGTGATAAAGCTCTCACAACTTGTTTTATTATCTAATTAGAAATGCTGGACTACTCAAAACAAGCCATATACAGCCTGGAAAGTTCAAGTAGCTTGCTCAGTGGTGGTTAAATGTAATTTCAGATAACTATCCTGGGCTAATCAGTTTCTTTCACTGCCAGGTGTATTTGGTATTCAGAGAGTTATTATATTACTATTTCCTCTATAGATTCGTTTTAGCTGTAGAAGTACATTTTGTCAGAAAAGTATGAACATACTTCGTCTCCAGCAAATTCATAAACTACTAAAGATCTTAGATTAAAAATAGTTCCTTAAACATCGGATGTTAAATTTTGTAAATGTTTGTATTTTATCAAGAGCAACTACCATATCAGGCCTAAATATGTTGACAATAGTGTCACATAAATGCAAAACACTGGGAAATGATTGCCTGATTACATTTTTGGATTTATGATATGAAAATCAATTCTGAAATTTTAACAAGACATCAGAATTGAAGATGCATGAAAATCATTTCCTGTGATCTTACTTGCAGTAGGTGTCATTTATCATCCCATAAACGTGAATTCCATAGCAGGCATCCATAGCCAAAATTAAGGTAAACCAACCCGTACTGAGATATGAACCTGACTGGACTCTGTAAAAATACAACAAACACAAAACAAATGGCAATGAGAAATTATCAACACTTTATCAAAGAAATATAAACTATTACCTAGGACAAAAGACATTAACAACTTGACAATCAGTCAAAATAATACCATTATTTTGAATTATTTATAGACGCTCTCATTCTTGCCAGCTTTGGACCTCAAGATATTGTCCAGAGAAAAAATACCATGTTAAATATCTGAAGTCAAACAATACATCTCCCATAAGACAGAAAATAATTTATTTTTACATCTGAAATACAGTAATTAGTAGAGTGTGTAAAATGAGATAAAGTTCATGAAAAAGCAAACTAATGGCAGTTTTTGCTGTGTGGATGTCAGTATGCACTGTCCTCTTCCACAAGTAAGATCTTCTTCTGCAGTGGGCTGTTCTCATCTTGAAAATTCACACCATACTGAAACTTGTAAGGATATTTTGCTAGAAAACCAGATAGTATAAGGCTTCAAAAAACAAAATTCTTGGCATATCCCTTTTCATAAGTTGGTGTTATCTTTCTTTAGTATAACATAGCAGAGAGAAAAACACAAGAAGACAGTGCCCAGATTGATAACCTTTGCTCAATAACTAGTTGCATGAAATCAGTCAAAAAATATTACCTGCATGGGTGAGAACAAATGGCATGTAAGGATTTGGCTCACACACTAGCTATGTAAGCAAACAAATGCAGTGTTAACTGCAGACCAAATCCTGCTCACTCTGCTCAGACAAATATTACCAAGGGGAATCTGTGAGTCAACAGAGTCACCCATATAACCTGGGCAACCAAGACAGACTGCTTTAAAGCCTCATAAGTAATAAGAACACACTTAGCCCTCACTGCTTACAAACTGGTTAAATTCCAGCTTTGTGCATGAAAATGGAAATAATTACCTTAAAATTCTAAATAACTTGTCAGATTTCCAAAGAAAGATATCATGAAAGCTATAAACCATCTTAGCAGATCCTCAACTTTGGGTAAGCTTGAGAAAGTTGGGTCTGAGTGAAACAAGGGAATAATTCAGCTTTATGCCACATCTTTTGGCCTTTAGCTTTTGGGTACAGCAGGGAGCAGCCTGTTCTCCATCATAAATTAAAATAGCCTAAGGTCTGCACACCATTAAGTTTTGCTGCAGAAGAACTCTGGAGTAGGACTGTGTGCAAATCAGTTATCCCCATCAACAAAACATTCTGAAGACATTTTCATCCTGATATAGGAATAAAGATTTCATGTGGAAAAAACCCCCAAACAAACCATATAGCAACTTAGCCAGCCTATAAACCCCAAGTTTTCAGTGAGACAGAAGAACCAGCCTCTGCTGTTTCTTCAGAGTAAGAAGATACTGCGATCTCCAGCCTCCAAGGGAAATCTGCCAATCAGTGGCTTTTGGCTCAGATTCTGTGCTACTTCCTTGCTCTTTCTTGTTGAAGTTTGACTAAAGACTTATTAAGTTGATGGGTGAAAAAACAGTTGTACAGTCTTTGTAATGACATTACCTGATACTTACAAGACTGAGACTAAAATTCCTACTCTGATCAATACTTTTTCTTATGGATAACTGGAAAGCTACAAGACCTTTATATTCCTAAAGAAACTCCAGAACAATCCAGTTTAAAGATTTTTTTTTGTTTGGTTTGGTTTGGTTTGTTGTTTCCTTTTTTTTTTTTTTTTTTTTGTGAAAAACTATTACCTCAATTACCAGAGAGTTTTAGTGTATTCAAGAACATTCAAAATAGTTTGGGCTACATCTTCACTTCTGTGCCTATTTCTATTGTCCTTCATGTGTTAGCTGCTATGAACTTCTATTCCTACCTTTCCTGAAACCTCCTTTTCCTTGGGGAAACTCTTAAGTATCTTTTTAGCTGCTTTTGTAAAGGATCATTCTGGAAACAATAATTAAAGGGCATAGCATAGAAGAATGACAAGTGGGAACAAAAAGCAGGGTGTCAAATACTCATATTGCATTAAGTGGACATCAACTATAATTGTGCTGCTTTACTTGACACCTTTATAGCCACAAAACTGTACATCTCCTTATCTGTCCCTTTGGGATCTTCATTTCTTCAAACAGAATGTTCTGCTGCTGTCAAGCAAAGAGAATTCCCAGTCTGACAAATGTTATTACAGAGTAACATTCTGCTGTGTTAAAAAGCTGCATTGCTTCTAGCTTGCTTTCTGCTCTTGCACCAGAAGAACACTAGCCTTGAGCTTTTAAAGCCATTTAGAATCATAATAACCATATAGAAAAACAATATGAAGATCAGGACCCCTCAGATAATGGAAGTTTATTGGAGAGTTCTATATTGACAGTAGCATCTGAAATTTGCTATACTCAGGAGGATAAAGGAATTTTTAAAAAGAATTAATCAATATTTCATGTCTTGTTTTAAGACCATTGAACCTTAGTTCTTTCATCCATATACTACACTGGCAGGATAAATAAAAACAGCAGAATGCGTTCCCACAAACCTTCCATGGGAGATGAAGTGCATGACAGAATACAGATTATATACTTTAAACAAAGCACTTACATTCCTCCCATTTTTTTTCCTCTGAAGATACATAGGGATACAAGGGAATATACTTAAGCAGTGGAGATTCTGGATGATTTGGTAACACCTTAGAATTCAATCTGATACCGTAAACATACTTTCTACATTCTAATGAAAGCAATATTAGAAATGTGAAAACAATTTCAGCTGCCCCTAAAAGGTCATAAATCTCTGAATACCTTTTAAAATATCATCCCATAAAACTGTAGTGCAAAGCAATGTCTAAGCCCTTGCTATTATGCTAACACTGTGCACTCAATTTCTTTCTCTACAGGGGGGGTTTCACGTGTTTTTTGGCCAGGGATTTTTGAGACTCATTAGAAGGAGTTCCCCTTATTACTGTCATTTCATTCAAATTTCAAATCTTAAACACAGAAAAAACCCCTCCATTTATGTGTAGTATAAGGCTATGTTCCTGCAAAAATCTGAAGGAGAACATTAATCCCAAAGTAGGGAAAACAGGAGCTTGTTAAACATCATCTATAGAACTACTGTAGGCAAATCTGTTGTGGTCTATGTGTGTGCAGCAAATCCAAAGTTGTTCCTTATGGCTCACAGTGACTTTTTCTTATACTCTAAAATTAATGGGGCACCAGATCTAGGCAGGAAATTGTCTCAATGGCCAAGGAGAAAATAATGCACTATTTTTCAAAAAATGTGTTTAAAAAGATGATTTTGCTTTCAAGACATGCTTTACAGCTGAATGTAGCAATGAAAAAATAATGCTCACAAAAAGTTACTTTCTCTATTTATCTTGAAAGTGAAAGCTCATTTTGCATACTTCCTATATTGTTAAGATGCTTAAAGAAATGTTAGTAATTGGGATATAATTTATTCTGCTAAATACCACCCAGCATTTCAGAAAAGTACATATCCTTAACATTAAACAGATGAAAAGACCAATGGAATCAGATTAATTAAGATGCTTGAAACAAAGTATATGCTTGCCTATCTTACTCTTAGGAAATGTTTATGTGCTTAAAATAGTATTATTTCATCTGATAATATAAAGGTAAACTCCAAGATTAATAGCTATTTCAAGTCTTAAAACATAGAATTTGCATTTTTAGTAATGCTTTCCAGAAACTCCACTAGAAAGAACTGAACATAGTTTCTCACAACACCTTAAAAAAGGAGAATTGCCTTTGATATTTAAGAAGGAAATGGTAAAAAGCACATTTAGGATTTCTAGAATTGCAATATAAGATACATAAAGCTTTAATTAAAAATTAATTAAAAATAAAAGCAATTAGACATGGTTCTTTAGCCTTAGCTTTCCAATATTCTACAAAAAGCACAAGAAATTGATGTAAAGATGGAATAGAGAATGCTCCATAAAATAGTTACCCACTAAAATTCATATTCTTTGACAGCTTTGATGTAGGCTACATGAAGTAAAAACAAGTGCTTTCTCTCATTAGGAGAAAAGGGAGGAACATCAGATATTTTCTTAATGATCAAAGGCAAGTGAGTTCAAATTTGGTAAAAGTTTTGTTTTCACTTGAGTTCTGTTTTTACCATAGAAATCCAGGAAGTTCTTTCTTTGTTCATTTGTTCCAGGAATTTTTATATGCACAATCAATTCTAGTTCTATGGTTTAATGGATTGTAGTTTCCAGAGGGAATTTTGCAGGTAAAAAATTAAAATGAAAAGCAATTTCATGTCCATCTGACATGAAATTCTAGAATTCTAAATTCCAAATAAATGCTAAATTTTTACTGGAGAAATTAGCACAGAAGGTCGATTATGAGTGTTAATTAAGATGACAAAAATTTAGGACTTCAAGAAGCTATTAAATAACAGAGTTTGCTAACTAACTAGACACTTTTCCTTTTTTCCTTAATTCCAAAACATTGCAGTAAAATAAAATTCAACAATGCCAGATTGAAATGACAAGATTCCCTAGGCCAATTAATTGACCAAAAAATTATCTTTCCATAAAGGCTGATTATAGACTCCAATCCTCAGATGACCCTCCTACCAAACTACTGGATCAGCAGCAGATTTATTTGCAGCACCTTGTCAGGCCTCTTGAATAATAAATAAGTATAAATTAAGGTGTTGGTCTAAAAAAAACAGGAGAGCTGTAATCCACGGAGTTGATAATGTGAGGTGTCCTTCCAAGATGCTAAACTATTTGTAAAAATTATTCAAAATAAAGAGAGATATTTTCAAGAACTGTGTTAAGATTATCTTAGACTGTGTTCAGTAGACATGCCTCTGTTATTTGTATTCACAGTGTATCAAGATACCATTAATCTTCTGGGAGGGGGTCAGTGTACCCTGGCTTTGCCTGTCTCTCTGCCACTTGCCCTGTGTCAGCCTTATCTGTGACTGACCCTTGGGAATAAGGGTAGAAGGAACATGTCTCCTCTGCACTCCCTTGTAAAGACATCCAACTCTTTCTCCCGGGGGTTACTATAGGGTTTTGTTTGT